TGTCCTTTAATTGGAAAAAACTCCTACGCCCCTCGCGGGGGCGGAAAAAGGAGGTGTGACATACAGAAATACTCATTATAACATGACTTGGAATTGAATCCTATAGACATGATATCTATTATTGAACTGATTTTAAGATATGATTGTTCGGAACCTATAAACATGGTTTCTAACATGTCATAATGCAAAACCTTATAGACATGGTTTCTACTTGATGAGCAAACAACTTAGAAGTGAAATCCTATGTTCACTTAGAACCTTATAAATGTGTTCCGGATTGTGGGTGCATTTCATGTGACGCAGTCCAAAGACGTGTTTTAAATGATGTTCACATTCTTTTAAAAATAATAAAGAGGTAAAAAGTTAAATTGGCACATCGGTTCATAATTTGTATTAAAATCAGATAAATAAGCCGAATATGACAGTTGAGCGACCGTGCTAGAACCACAGAATTTGGGAATGCCTAACACCTTCTCCCGGGTTAACAGAATTCCTTATCCGGATTTCTGGTACGCATATTGTAATATAGAGTCATTCTTTTCCTCGATTCGGGATTAAAATTGGTGACATGGGACACCCTAAATCTCCCAAGTGGCGACTCTGAAATAAATAAATAAATCCCGTTTCGATTGTCCTTTAATTGGAAAAAACTCCTACGCCCCTCGCGGGGGCGGAAAAAGGAGGTGTGACATACAGAAATACTCATTATAACATGACTTGGAATTGAATCCTATAGACATGACATCTATTATTGAACTGATTTTAAGACATGATTGTTCGGAACCTATAAACATGGTTTTTAACATGTCATAATTCAAAACCTTATAGACATGGTTTCTACTTGATGAGCAAACAACTTAGAAGTGAAATCCTATGGACATGATTTCTATTAGCGAAGCAATCAGATTAAAGAGCAAACCTATGAGCATGTTTTCTATTTAGGCAAAGCAATAAGATTAAAAAGTGAAACCTTATGAGCATGTTTTCTATTGAGTAAAGTAGACAGACTTTAAAAGTAAGATTCTAAGAACAAGATTTTTACCCGTATTACCCCAAAAAGTATACATCTACCCATCCCTTTTACTAAATACCCCAAATATCTGTTTATAAATTATTACAAGCCAATGAATAAATTACATAAGTACAAATAGAAAATCAAGAAGCTATTTTATAGGGAGCCTTCAAGTAGGCCCAGGTTTTCCAAAGCCTCCAATGGTCTCATAAGCCTCAGTTCCATAGACAAATCAGAGTCTAGGTGCATCAAAGTTCTCTAAGGGTCTCAAGGACCCCGGGCAATGCTTACACCTAGACTTAATAACCAAAGAATTGAACAAGTGCAATGTGCAAAGGCCAACCTGAGTATGCCAGAGTTCATAGGGCTCTCAAAAGGATCCTAAGGTAGTACACATACTAGAGGGGGCAGAACTTATTGACTAAGAGTAAAGTGAAAGTGAAGGACACAAGTTAAAAAAGGTTCAGTAAAAGACTGTATTAGAAAGTCTGTCTTGAAAGTAATTTAGTAAAACAATGGAGATTGTTTGGAAAAGAGATTGGAGCAGTCAACAAAGTTCAAACTCCTTAGGATAGAATCATACACAGCTAGCTCACAGAACCAAGTGAATTCAGTAGTCATACAGGGGTCAAGTGTTTTGGGACACGTAGAACATTTGGCTGCAAACACATAATCCTGCAAAGGTTTTAGGACTGGTTTAGACATGCTCAAAAACAACTAACACTGGCATAGTCACATAACCAGTCATGAAGAACACAAACACATAGATGGGTGATAGGGATTTGGGGATCCATGGGATATAAAATGGTAAGTACTAACAAGTAAGAGATAAATGGTAAGGCATGCTCAGAAACACACATAAGGGGAATGTACTAATCTAAAGGAAGGGGAAGACATAATAACATGCTGATAGTGTAACTCTTAACTACAAATTTCACAACAGAACCACAAATAGAAGCAAACCAGAAACAAGAGAAACTGAAACAATAGGAGAAACATGTTGTTGTTGGAATTTTAAATTGAAACTAGGACATACCAGTGAAGAGGAGAGTAAGCAGAATGAAAGAACAAGAGAGCACAAATGGTTAGCCTTAGCTTACAGCCGACTAACAGTAGCAAATAACACAAGAGAGAGAGCAGAGATTTTTAGTAAGAGAGAGAGTTTTTGAAACCAACTGTTCGTCTTGTGTTAATGAAAGACTGGAGTTTTTATAGTTGAAAACAGGTAGTAAAATAAGGTAAGAATCATAGTAGCATGGTAATTAAGGAACTCAGAATTAGTTAGTCGGAAAATTAAGGCCAGTACTCCCTTAAGTTGGGAATTAATTTAAACGATAAGAACCAGTAGCATATAAGGCAAGAGAAAATCAGTACATGACTAGTAAGGAAAGAGTCAAAGTTCAGTAAGCATGGGGTGACCAATTAGGACTAGGTTCATCAAACTCCAATTAAGGAAATGATTCAGTCAGAATAAAATACCACAACAAATAAGGTAGGGAATCAGTCAATTTAAACAAACGAGGTAAAATTTAGGTTTTCAAAAGAAATCTTTCAATCAAACCATCAGTTAAGGAAATCAGAATCAATCAAAAGGGAGTCATGATTCTATACCTCAACATATAAATAGAGAAGGACAAACAGACGTAGCAAACAGGCAAGGTCAGCAATATTGACAGAAAGAGGCAAGAAATGAACAAATCAAGATGAATATAATTACACAAAGGTGATACAAGTAGACTAAGGACTCAGTAAAACCCATTCGAAGCATGGTAACCAACAGAAACTTAACAAGAGTCGATTAGTCATGCTAACACACAAAATCAAAACAAAGAAGATCTAAAAAATTAGGGCTTTTAACATAGGCGAGTCACTACAAAAAAAAACGCTAAATTTGCGGAGGTTTTATTGCGGAGATTATTATAACCTCCGCAATATATATCAAATTATGGGGGCTTACTTACCTCCGCAAATATATTAAATTTACGGATATGCCCAATGTTTCCCTCATTTTTTTACCCTTTCCCTCTCTTTTTTCCCAAACCCCTTTTTCATTTTCAGAAACCCATCTCTCTCGCTTAATCAAAACCTATTTTTCCTATTCACTTAATCTCTTTATTTCCTCCGATTTCAAGCCCATTTCTTCTTCATTTCCTCCAATTTCAAGCCCGTGTAGCTCTCTGCTTTTCTTCAGCAAAGCAAAATTCCAAATACAATAGCTCTCTACTTTTCTTCAGCGCCTCCTCTGTTGCAACATGAAAGATATATGAAAGAAAACTTCAGATCTATCAATCAATTGGATGTAAGTTTATTTGATTTTGCTCTTTCATTCTTTGATTTTGCTTTTTTGTCTTTCTTTCTTCATGCATGTGGGTTTTAATTTTATTTTCTCTGTAATTTGTAGAATCGGTGTATTTTGAAGAGATTAACTAGAATCAGTATATTTTGAATCGACAGAAATTTGGTAGTATCGGCTGAAATTTGGTAGAATCGGTGTATTTTGAAGAAAGATATAATACTTTTTGTTGAAATCGAGATATAAGTCCTCTTTCTCCTTTTGCATTAGGTATTAAAGGTTCTAAAATTTAGATTTTTGTGTATTTTGTAGGTTAATTTCTGTGATTTGGGTCTTAATTAAAATATTTCCTTTTGTATGTGTATTTTAGATCTCCTGGGGACCTTCAGAGAAGACGCAATTGTCGCCGGCTACTTTTCCAATCAGTCTCAAGGTACTTTTTTGTTTTTCTATTTAATAATATTGGAGCAGGCATAGGTTAGGAGCACATGTTATAGTTCTTCTGCAGTTTCAATTATGTTGGAATCCTGGACCTGTCATAAGTTTGAGAAAAACTTCATGTGATGGAAATTAAATTATAGTATGTTCATATGAAATATGAAATTTAGAATTTTTATAGTTTTATTATCATGTATTCTTTCATATGTTTGTATTCATTCTATGCGTGTTCTGCTTTTTGGCTGATCTTTGTTCAATAATTTTGATAGTCAAGTTTGGAGTTCAACTTCATAAAAGTGTCTGGTAATTAAACTAAGTAATGAATTGCTGAATAAGCTAAAGTCGGAATTGATGCTAAGAGTCATTTATATAATTGGTAGAAATTGAAAGGAGCATACCATGAAATAAGCTTCCAAACATAAAAGGTCAAAAAGAAACAAGCTTTAAGTTTCACCTAATAGAAATAGATTTACATGCATACACAATCTTCAGCTATCCTCCAATGAAAATTCATCAGTCAAAAATGAAGAAAAGTTCTAGACCTGGAATTATACTGAGCAAACTTAATTAATGTGGATGTCTTGTTTCCAGATCAAGAATTTGAGATTCTTTGTTGTGATATTGAGTCCCTAGTTAGTTTGCTCACCTTTTATCTCTATGGTGAAAATACTAGTCTTTCTCTCCATTGCTATTTCTGTTCTAAGTTAAATAACTTAAATATAGAAATGATGTGGCTTATCTCATACCCAATAGCAGTTTTCTTCTTTCATAAATTTAATTCAAGCTGTAGTTCCTTTTATTTTTCTAAGCCCAATGTAAGATTTTTCCTTTTTTTCCCCTGGATGTAGATTTTGCCAAGTTGTATGCTTTTATGTTCCCTTTATTTGTCAGTATTTCATTTCAATTTGGTCTGCAATCTGTGGTTGAGTCTTACTTCTTTCAGAATCTTTTGTCCACTGATCTTCTTGAGGGTCTTTATTTTAAGGAATATATCCAGAATTTCTGAATTGACTTCTCATCAATGTCACCTGTTACTTATAAAAATTCATCATATGATGATCGTCTGCGCATTTGTTTCAAGAAGTATCTTAGCCTTATCGAATTATTATATGTGAATTTAGATGTTAGCGAGGATTCTTGTGCTATACTTATTTCTTGTCCTCTTTTATGAATTCCAAATCTCATGTGGTGAAACTTTTAAGGAGCTGTAATTTTTTTAAAGATGGTGTTGCTAAACTTAGGATTTTCTCCTCTGGTGAATTCGTATTCTCCTGCGATTGTACCCCTGGCTGCCCTGAAGGTTTTTACTTATATAGTCGCCAATATTTTTTGTTTCTTCTTAAGAAATATGTTTGTGTTAAATGCATGTTCTTGATTCTACTATGGGCTTACGATGGAATGTTGTTTCTGTGTTTTTTGAATTGACGCGTTGCTGTTTTTTTTAAAAATAATATGATAATTTTCTTGAGTGTGGGATGTTCTTTGTGATATACAGTTCCATAATTATTGTTTCATTCTGATCGATCAGTGATGGTTAGCTTGGGCGTTAATGGTATTTTATATTTAGAATACCTGCCTACAATGTTGTACGTTTGATATGTGACTCTTCTGAAGATGATTTGGTTGGTAAAAGTATGATCTTTGATAATGAATTCTGTTTATATGGCTTTGAAGAAGTGATGTTTATTACCTCAACGTGCAATTTTAGTATTTCTCGTTGATAATATATTCTATTTAGGTGGCAATAATCTCATAAAACCAAATAGTAGCCAAGGGTTCATAAAAAGAACTAGGTCTTTCTGTTTAGATAACAGTTGTCATATATATAGTATTGCATCATAATTGCCTCAATTATGCGAAATGAAAATTTAGTGTCAAGTACTTTGTTATCCTTTGCTTGTTCAATTCTTATGTATAGGTGCTATCTCATACTGTTTTTATATTTTAAGATTCGCAAGGAGCTAGCAAGATACTTAAAGTGAAGAAAAGGGACGTGTTAAATTTATCTAATGGAGAACGCATTGTGGTTGATTTTGATGACATGGATTCTCCCATTGCTGAAGGACAAGGCGTTCTTGTAGGCTTTTGCGGAATTTTAGCAACCGACTGCTCCATTTTTCTAATTCACTTTGAGAAATGACCAGATTTACCCGTGACAATCTTCAACTGTTGCTATGATCGATTTATAAAGGTATTACTGAGGCATACAATAGCTCTGTTTTATGTCATTGAATTGTATATTTGCATGTAATAATTATCTAACCATTGGTTTATTCTTGAAGCCTCGATTTTATTTTAGGATAACAGAGTCAAATGCAAGACGATATGTTTACAATTCTATGTGTAAGAAGTGGGGCGCAAAAAGGCTAAAGTTGTTTGATAAGGTCTATGATCCACTTAAGAGCAGAGTTGAGATAATGGATGGTGTTCCACTGGTGATTCCATCGGATCAATGGATCTCTTATGTTGATTACCGTTTTAAAGGAAAAAACACAGGTATTTATTTCAATCCTTCAATTATATGTGTAATTATATGGCTTCACTTTAACCAATCTTCATCCCTGTTAATGTTTTCAAACTTTTCCAACAACATCGACTTGACTTAAACTTAACCTTCAGATTCGAAATTTGAGATCACTTCTTCAAACTTGCCTCTTTTTGCTTGAGCTTATAAATATCAATATCAACCACAACCATTTAAGAAAATCTTTGACAGATCCTTTGTGGTTTAATCTACACACTTATTGTTAAATTTTGGCTTATTTTCTTGCTATTACTGGTGGAAGTTTGGGATTTGTTCTTGGAAGGCAATCTTCTGGCTTATAATATAATGTGCTTTTGTCACTTTACTGTAGCATTGAGACAGGGTGACCTCTATCTTTAGTTTACCACTTTACTATTTTTCTTTTAAGCTTGAGGAAAGGACAAGAAAGGCTAGAGCTTTTGCTGATTTAGGTCCCAATGAAATCTTTCAAAATTCTACTCAATGATGAAATAATAGACTTGTGTTCTTTCTCCTCTTTAGTCATTACTGGGTTGTAAGAAGATGCCCTTTTGTATATTTGTTCCATTCTACCTGCAGATACAAAGGTAAAACTGGATCAATTGCTACATAATGCAAAAAATGACCCCCCCTTCCGTGTCCTTGCATGTGCATGCAGGTAAAGCAAACACTAAGATTCAGATATATATTTCTAACATGTAATTTTTTTTTGGTATCTTCTTGTAAGGAAACTTGTAAAAGAAATGCTGAAATTCGGAAGAAACAAACTGTTTCACATATCGGTGGCTCCAAACCTAACTCCAGAAGAAGGGCTGAAATGGTAATAATTCATTTTGGATACTTTAATTAAGCTAGCAACTATTCCTAGTTAGTTAAGTTAATGCGAATTTGACCTTTTCATTTATAGATGGCTGAGACTAGACAAAAGCCTGGACGAGGATAGCTTTATCTCGCTACACATAGGAATGAAGATGGATCATATGTTAATGAGGCGGCAAAAGAGATATGTGTAAGACACTCCGAAATTTTCTATATCATTAATTGAATTTGCCAGTTTAGCTTCAGTGAGAATGTGAATCAATGGCACAAGAAGTCTATGAAAATGGCATACTGAGGGTTAGTAATGCCGGTATCTTCCATAAGTTTGGGGCTAAAACTTAATTATTTTCTTAAAGCTATAAAATTTGATCAGTCTACAGAAGTTAAACTCTCTGCGGAAAGCTACCAGCTTTATATAGCACAAGAAATAATATATTTTAACTATGTCTGCAACTCGCTCCTACATTTTAAGTTTGAACAGACCTCATAAGATCACACCATCATCAGATTCTCGTCTCAGAAGTTGTGAAGTAGCTTTCTCTTAGCACAAAACACTAGTCCACTATGTAAAGTCATCTCAAATGAAACTCTTCCCAAGTAGACTAACATATTCCTCTGATGTTCTAACTAATGTTTCTTTTTCATTTTACTAGATGATTAAATTTTTCCTATTAGAAATTAAATAGTTGAAGATTTTTCCAGATTCTCAGTTCTTTTCACAATGAATATATTTTTAAAGAGTTAAGTTTTATTGTGTCAAAAAAAAATATCTGTCAGCTACTATGAACTAGAGAGAATGTGGATAATTTGTTGGTGAAATTACACTAATTTTAACTTGTCAATCAATGATTGAAGTAAGAACACTGACTTTTGGTGTGTAATGTATTTAGGAAAAAATTGAACTAGAATTGAACCAAAGCACCATGGATGAGTATGAAATTTCGCCAAATGATGATGTTGGTAAGGTGTTGGGAAAAGAGCACTCGGGAACTGTAAGGTGCTTAGGATTAGGAGCTGTTCCTGGCAGAGCTTTTAGACAAACAAGACCTCGTTATAGTGATTTGAATGCTTCAAGTTATAATAATGGTTCGTGTTCTTCCTAATGCCAAGAGAAGTACAATCAAATGTTGAATGCCCACAATCAAAGCTAAGAGAACTACAAAGAAATGATGAATGTTAACACGCAAATGATGAATGCTTTTAAGGCATATATGATAAGGGATATTTGTTTCTCCTCCTCGTTCAACGGTAAAAATAGTTCATAACTTTCTTATTTAATTTTGTAAAGTATGATTAATCAGTCTAAGTATTATTAGTTAGGATATTGTTGAGGTACTTTTTGTTAATTATATTTTATTTTGATTGTTTTGTAGCCAAGTGATGCGGCTAGCGGACCCATTGTACCCATTGATATAAGATCATCCGGTGAAAGTAATCCTAACAACAACCATTGAAGTTGCTTTCAAATGTATTAGATAATTAAGTATCACACTTGATTGAATGGTCATAGTAGATCTTTTGTCCATAATGGTTGGACTGGATGTTCTGTTTAATGTTAGTTTTAAGACTAATTATAATATTGATGTTTTGTGTTTAATGGTTGGAGTAATTGTGTTTAAAATAAATTTTTAAGACTAATGATAATTTACTTTAATATGGAATCACTATATTTCCCCCTTACAATAAAGCAAAGATCGTTTTATCTTTTTAATATTCCAGTAGTTGGGAAACTTGCCTTTATTAATTGTTAAAAGAAAATTATACTTGAAATTGTAATAGTTATGTAGTAACATTGCAGAACAAAATTGAATAGCGGAGGTTATAACTATCACCATTTAACCTATAATAATAATTGTGTTATAAAGTTTGCGGAGGTTAAATAAAGAAATTGCGGGTTTAAACCTCCGCTATTTTATAATAAGTGACAGCGCCAAACTACCAAATTGCGGAGGTTATACCGCCGTCAAATACCCGACGCTATATGATAACGTCGATCTGTCAAAAAACCCCCGCAAATTGGTTGCGGCGAACAATATTTGCGGGGGTTTTGGAAACTGCCGTAAAAGTATATTGCGGAGGTTTTTGACCACCGCAATATGTAAATAAAACCTCCGCAAATTGAGCATTTTTTTTGTAGTGAGTTAAAAAACAGTAAGAACATAGAATCAGTCAAGATATGCGAGGAAAGATGTTTAAACATAAAGAGAAATCAGTTTAAACAAGTGTAGAAGAAACTATGAGAAACCCTAACTTTAAAGAAAGTAAAAATAGCTTAAAGTTGATAATATTTCAAAAGAAGTTTGAGAATAGTGTAAAACATAGAAAGAAACAGACTTAAATCGTTAAAAGGGGCACAGATCTGAGAGATACAAACGAAAGTTAGGGTTTCAAAGGAAACCCAAATAGAAACGGAAGAACATGCTATAAACTTCAAAGATCGTAACATATGTGGTGTGATTTTACCCAAAATCACACCGGAGAAGCCATGAACAACCAAACCAGAAACCCTAGATACAAATCGGCATGGCCTAGGGCCCTTGAAGGCCTCATAGATGATGAACAAGGCGATGGAGGAACCATTGGAGGCTTGAGGTTGAAAGGTGGTCGCCAGAGATGACCGGTGAAGGAGGCAGCGATTGAAGAGGTTAAGGGTTAGGTTGAGAGAAGAGAGGAGATGAGAGAGTTTGAGGGTGGCGGAATCTCAAAAATGAGATAGGGTTAGTGGTCTTTAGGATTAAAAAAGGAAAGGGCTCGGGTAGGAGTTTATAATGTCTGGGTCGGGTTAATTGGGTAGGAAATTGGGCTGGGGTTGGGCTAAAATTAGGCTAGAATTGAAAGCCAAATCTGGCTATGATTTAAATAGCCACTTTTCCCTATTTTAAGTTATAATAAATAATAAATTATTTTCTGAAAATAATTTTTCTATACCAAAATTATTTAAAATATATACTTATCATTTTAAAAATATAGGGACCTATTTCACGCCTATAAAATATAATTATACATCAAAATGGGCTAACATTGCAATTATATGCAATTTAGCTTAAAAATACTAAATGTAATTATAAAAATGCATGAAAAATATATTAGCAATATTTTGGCATAAGTACAGAAATTAAATGAATAAATCATCATAACAATAATTTTGGGAATAATTATTGGGGATTTTATGAATAAAAGGGGAGAAAATAAATCAATTTAAATCCTTAAAATTATGGAAAAAATTATAAAAACCTTGTGCATGATTATATATATGCTATTTTGAAGGTATTTATGCATATTTAAAATATATAGGAAAAATTGGGTATCAACAGCATTACACTTCTCCCAAAGTTCATGCAATGACTGATCGAACTTATCCTTAGTACATCGTCCATCAACAAACCCTAATTTACTCTTGCCTATCAATTCTATTTTCATATATCTATTCCATACTGCATAGTTCTCAGTTCCAGTTAGCTAAATTGAAATCAACGAACTACCTGATGTGTCACTTGGCTGTATAAACAAATGGTGATGATGATCGATGGTTATTGCGGTTGTTCCTGTGCTGGTTCAGCTAAAACTTCTTCTCCAACTGCTATGTCTATCAAATTCAAGTAAACTAAGTTTTGAATTCCACAATTAACAGAGCTTTCAGTCGCAAATTGCAAAAAAAAAAAGGACAGAAATTGACGGAGAAAACGAGGAATGACAATTGCAGTGAACGCGGATCTATCATCCCTGCTATGATACTATAATGAAGATGTGAGAGCTTCAGTGAAGACAACAATGGCGAAAAATAGAAGAGAAGGTTCTAGAGAGAATTTTTCTATTTGAGAGAAAATTGGTTTGTATTATTGAAGCTCTACATTACAATGAACTGATACTATGTATATATATATATATATATATATATATATATATATATATATATATATACACTTCTACAACTGCATCTAATCTACAACCTTTTATCACCTAAACTAACCAATTCCATAATTAGTTATAACTAACTAATCCTTCTTAACTGAATTAACTACACTCACGTGATTGACACGTGACTACTCCTATCTTCAACAGTACAAGTTAATTAAACTCAAAAACAAAAGGGTTGGCCTACAACCTACACATGTTATTCTGTAGAGAGCGACGTTCAAACATTAAACAAATATACCTTTGTGTTTTTCTTAATCAATGTTTCTAAGGAAAAATAGATAATTGTGCAATGTTTGTTGTCAATTCGTAAATGATCAGTAGTTCAGTACTTTAATCAAAGGGCATATCTCTCGCGATAAAACTTGCGTATGTATGCCATTGGAATTTGTATGATCAAACCACAAACTTCAACAAATTGGTACAACTTAAAACATTTCAATATTTGACTGTTGAAGTTTGGCAAAATGCCAAAGTCCCACATCGGTTGAGAGTTAAGTTTGGGGGAGATTTTCCCCCTATAAAAGAAGGCCTAATGTTTAGGATTGAAACAC